TTTTTGTGGGTAAAAACACTGTAGATGCCGGTGTAGTTGTAAGTACGTGCCTCTCGCAGGCAACTAAAGAATTACGCACTTTTTTCTATTGACTTTAGTTCATTTTTCTACGACCTTTTAGACAATTATAAATTCATTTGGATTTCCTTCTAATCACAAAAGATTCGTTGGATTCTCTATTTATAATAGTCCTCTTAAACAGTTTGTTAGAGTTAACAAATCGATGAATCGGGTTGATTAGAACTTGGAGTTTACACTGTAAATATTGCTTTTTGTTATATCTGTATTATAGAATTAAATCTAGAAAGATTCTCAACGAATCTTAATGGCCTTTCTTGTAGTTATAAAAATTTATTTCTGAAGAATTTGAGCATATGTCTATCTACTGTCTCATTACTATAGATCACACCGAATTCTGTTGGTAGTCATCGAAATTACTCAATATTCTAAAAATTTTAACTTTATAATTTTCTTTCTCTTTGTCAAAAATATTTGTGTAAATTATTAATGAGAATCCTAGAAATAACTTATAAAGAGAGAATTCTGCAGATATTTCATTATTGTACACAAAAGTCCAGTACATATAAGTATGACGGTATTCGCGTTTAGTTTATGACTATCCTTTTCATTCGAGATATCTATTCATCAAGAGATGGGTAACAGGCTAGCTAATAGAGATAATTCAACGGCGGTATCGGCTACAGTTGTTTCGATAGAAGCAACTTCATTTTTTTATCAAGATTTAATCTATCATGTTCAAGCGATTCAGCTTTCTCCGTTGGATGAATATTATCTGAAATTACCTGTATGAGAATATCCAGATGGTTATCAATTTATTACATACAGTGATTTGAATATCTTGATAGAACACTGTGAAGATGCACTGCGTCAACAATTTGTAATAAGTGTTCTCCTAATGAATATCATGAAAAAGATTACTTTGTAATGAGAAAAACTTCGAAAACTTTCAAATATTGAATTAAAATCGTTTATAGTAAATGAAAATTGTCAAACGAATAAATAAAACTGGAATGAAGATCACATATTGAAATCAGATGATTACTTGAATAGTCAATTCTCTCATGGATATAGCTACTGTCAAACAACTGATATAAAACAAGGATGGTATTCCTTCTGATCATCAACGTTTAGTATTTGTCGGAAAACTACTCGAACACAACAAGTCTCTTTCATATTATAACATACAAAAAGAAAGTACGCTTCTTACAGTACTACGTTTACATGATGGAAAGTATCATTTCACAAGTGTTCGACAAGATTTTCAAAGTTCACCAAATAAAGGAGCCAAAATAGTAAAAGATGCTCTTGCATTCAAGTTTAAAGGTGTGAATGTTGGATTCTGTTACTTTTACATATATTCGCAGTCACATCCACACCCTTCTTTTTAATAATTTTAAAGTGGGATCCATTTTCTGTGCAAATCAATTCTTTGTTTTAATCTTTTGTAAAAATTATTTTGTTTCTTGCAAATTTAATGAGAAAATTCATTGCTGAAATTCTTCTCTATGCTACTTATCAAGGGTCTTTAAATGAAATTGATTTGATTAAAATCTTGTTCCTTATGTTATCCTTCTGTTTTTCTAAAAGTTTGATAATATTTTCATCATCTCTGAGCAATTTTAATAATTGATTTAAGAATCAACTACTACCAATCGAATAATTCATAACTACGATACAGTAATTATCAAGTAAAAATTATTGCTTCACTCAACTTTCGACCACGAAAAGACTTGAATCTATTGATATGAGAATCATCACTGATAGACTCTTGTAACTTCCTTATAAACAAAAAAAGAATGCGTGCTATATCAACTAACTTTAAAAGATCTAACCATTCCTTTTCCGAATAACTTCACATCAAATGGATACATCAATACAGCTTATAGTGAGAAATTCTTTAAAAATGTAATTCATTCTTTTTTCTTTGTATAAAAGCGAAATATTCTTTACTTCTTAGCAGTATGGTCTTAAAAAATTTAAAGTACTGCATGAAAATGATGAAATCGACATAAAAAATTATGTATTTCAAGCTTATTGATTAAAAATGAGAGTTTTCATCAATTTAAATTCACGATTTTAATGAAAAATTATGTTCATTGCATTTGTTTGAGTCAAGCCTGCATTTTAATCAATGATATTGAAATGCATCAATTTTTTCACGATATTATTTTACAGACAAAGAAATTCGTAAAATAACACCAAAGATCAATATGTGATATGAAGAGAAATTCGAATGAAATATATCTTTGAAAAATAATTAAATAAAATGAATAAAAAAGACTGTAAGGGTATTTCTTTTTGAAATTTTATTTTCAAACCTAAATTCAATTCATCTACTTCATTCTCGCTATATAAATAGAAGTTATAGGCTGTAAATGAATATGTTTTTGAAATCTTAAATAAAAGAATTATCAAGAAGATATTTTCATTGATTGACTTTCTGTTCTATCGGATTTATACATCAAATTCATGCAAGTCAATTCTGAATCATCAAGTAATATTTATCACACTGAAATATACAATAAGTTCTCCAATATTGATATTAAAGAATTTACTTCATAATGATGTTGTCATCGTTCAGTTGATATATTAAAATAGCTCATTTTATTAAATGTTCAACTTTCAGTCGATTTTTTATCGATTACTATAATCTGAGTATTAGTTTTACCCGGCTCACCATCACTATTAATACGACATGATTCGATTAAAACAAAACGAATATAGAGAAAAAAATTGTCAACTCATTTGATATTGAACAATGCATGAAAATGGTAAAAATAAAATTCTGATATTGAGTGACATGCGCAATAGGACACTCATTGAGAACGAATAAGCTTAAAAATGATAAAACAATATTTTTTCTATTAATCTAAATTGATCCATCGCTATTATCAAGATTAAATCCATTCAAATTCTGATTTCATGCATTCGTCAGATAATAGACGAGTTAATTTTGTTTCGATAATCATTACTATGTAATTCTTTCTCAAAATTTATTTTATTTATGGTTTTTGAAACGATTATAACTACTGTAAATGTATAAACGATGATTTATCATTGATATTTTTTGCAATTATTGTGGTGATAAGTCATAGTGATACAAAGATATACAAGAGAAAAAAGGAAAGATAACAACCAACAACAAGATGTGACACAATCGAATAAGAATAACATATTCAAGAAGAAAAGGAAGAATCAGGAAACAGAAACATTACACCATATAGAGATACCTAATACTATGAATAGAGCGTAAGAATCTATAGCAATTCTAAGTAGGCATTAAATTAGAATGCATCAGGAAAATTTTCAACACCATAAATGATATGTGTTTAATAAATCTTTTGATCTATGTTCATTTGTAATGAGAAATTACGACTGTAGCCACGTTTTCCCAGGTTCTTTATAAGTTGCTTGTTTTACTAGAAGTTTTTTATCAACAGATTCTGCTAGTGCAGCTTGACATCGATTCTGGTACATGAAACATTTATCCTTCAATGAAATTTCATCACAGGCATAGGGAAAGAAGTTAGCTGATCATTGAAGGCAGTGAATTACTCTTTTCAGTGAGGTATTGTAAAAATAGGAAAGATCCTTGCGTTGCTTTAACTTAGGACAGGGTGTGAGTGAACAGATGTCGGTACCACCACCCTGCTGGGCGTCGTTCCGTACAACATCCTTTATATTCATCTTTACTTTATTAAATTTATGTCTTGAAAAAAATTCAAAAAAATTAAAGTTCTGCTATAAGTTAAACGCATTCTAAAATAAGCATTACCAAGTAAAAAGAACTCTACTTCAAATAATATTTTCGCTTTCCAGTGTCAACAAATGAATTACTTTACTTTGATTACAGAATATAGCTAAGATCGAAAAAGTATCATGACCGTAGTTTGTTGAACAGAGCAGATAATGGTAATTCATGCGATGAAAATCTGGAAAAAGGACGAAAATATTCAAATTGTTTCATAGTGAAACAGTCACATATGCAAGGTTCATCAATACTATTTCAATGCCTGAGTTCCTTTATTTCAAGAGGATAAATAAACATTGAGGCAAAAAGAATTTTTTTCTCTTCAATATGAAAAGCAAATTCAGTAAGTATTTAATCTAAGAAAAAAAAAACGAAGCATTTTCAATATTTATTTTGCTCATTCGTCGCACACAAACAATGCAATTTACAACAGCACTATTTTTTTGTATCGTTTTTTCATACGTACAAGGTTTGTTCATTTATTCCTTCTCATTTTATTCTTTCATTGAATGAACAATATTTAGGTCAAACTACAACAGTCTCTAATTACTATTGTAATGAAAGTAATAATGCTGTCCAATTTACATTGTCTTCATCATTTCATTCTGCATGGCAACCAACATTAAATTGTTCTTTACCACAATGTAATTTAAGCTCCAACGATAACAACAACTGTCTTTTGTCATTAACACCATGCTTCAACTATCGTGCATCGAACAATATTAGCTATTGTGCACCCGGTATCCTATGTTCTATTTTGGAACCATGTAATAACGCTACTTACAACTGTACATCAAACAGCTCCGTATGCATTACTAACTCGTGCTGTTCACCACAAGCAGTATGTTTACCATTGTCATCAATGCATATTTGTAAATTAGGTAAAAATCGTTTAACTGAAATTTGTGAATGTGTAAGAACCAGTTAAAGTAAAGGATGGTCCAAAAGTTTCGACCCCACCCCTCCTTAGTAAATCGATGATATCTACAACAAACTTGTATGAAGTTATTGATCAAACGATGTGATTTTGTAGAGAAAGATTAGAGCTATCATCTGAAAACAAATCTAATTCGAAATACATCAATCTATTACAATGTTACAGTCATTTTACAAATCTGGAATAAAAATTTTTACGTTACAGTTTTCGAAAAAACTAGAAAAGAATTTTAACGTTAGAGTGGTTAAAGTTGAGCAAAATATTATTTTCTACATGTCTGTAATAGATATTTTTATTTGCTTTAACAAGCTCTGCAAGAATATGAATATTAAGAAAAGTTCGAATCCTGTTTCCAAAATATAAAACTCGAAAGAAACCATGCAGAATAATGAAAATTTCACATTTGTTGCATGAGGCAGTATACTTAGCTTTCAATAACTTTAGTTGATCGATTGTTAATTGATGCTTCGAGATGAAGTGTCACATACTGTAGCTGCAGCTAACTCTTCCGAGATACATATACCGATGGAACAGTCCAGCAGGTGAAGCTGTTAAAAGCTCAACTTAGTCTCTCGAATATTGGATACATTAAATTTTTATTAGTCTTTCTGGTTTTTTTCAAGTTTCATATTGAAAATAAGATCAGATCTTTTTTAAACACTCTTATTCTCGTAGAGCTTGTCGAACTCCATCGGGTCATGTAAAAAATGTCTAGAAAACAATATGTCGCTTAAGATTTTACCAGCATATTTTGTTTTTTCAAAACATGTAACGTAAAAATCTTCGCTCAAGATTAGTAACATGATCATAACATTGTAATAGATTTATGTATTTCGAATTAGGTTTTTTCAGATGATAGCTCTAATCCTTATCTACACAATGACATAACTTGATCAATAACTTCATATAAGTTTGTTGTCGAGATCATCGATTTACTGAGACGAGTCGAAACTTTTGAACCACACTTTGCTTTGTGTGAATTATAATTGAGACATGATTTGGTTTTACGAATTCACTATCGAGTGAATCTTTTCATGCAACGATAATAATATGAATGATAGGTAGAAGTTAGCTAAAGCTAGTTAAAGAGTGGGTTCATGACTAGCCCGAAGTGTGAACAATACCCGTCAGATTTTATACCAAAAGTCTCTCATACCCGTAATGACTAGTTACCTTGACAAAAAGTATCTTTTAGCTACGTCTGACCTAGTTCAGAACGCGTTCTTGAACTGCGGCATGCCCAGTCCATTTTCAGGACTACCTCGTCTAGACGTGTTCGTAAACTAAAAGAAAGAATAAAAAAGAAAACAAGAGGTGAATTCGAACATCCGACCCATCAGACTTCAGTATTTGACGAACGTTTTGACGCTGGATCATGGTTTACCGACAGACTACAGCTAGTTTATACAATCCAAGTAGCAGAAAGAGGTACATCCACATTGGATAACGCAAATGAATTTCATAACAATTTTCTTTCAATTAAGGTGTGGCGTTGATAAAGAGGAACGACCCACACCCTGAAGAATACATTTTTTTCTTCATATCGAAATTTTAAAAAATTCTGCATAAAATCCCAATAAATGATGTCTTCGAAAAATATTCCTTGACATATTGAAGTAGGTTTTTCGATCATATGGCTCAATCGTTCAGACGATGCGTAAGAAACATGTTGTGTGTCTGTTCGAAGCGTGTTGGTGGGTATGGGGTTAGTGTGCGAATTTGTGAGTTGGGATATGGACGATTAAAGGTCAAAGCACGCATTCCTATACTGACATTCTCGCACATCCACCCCTGAGCAACACGCACAGTCGCACCCTCGTATGACTGATTCAAAGCAGAAACCTATATCGAACAACTATATAAAAAATGTAGTAACGATAATCAAAATCTTGCATATGTTTCTTTACCGCTACATGAAAGATTTCATGCAACTAAATGGAACCATGATTTTAGGTTATATAGTGTTGAAAATATTTGTACATAAAGTGAGAAGCAATCTCTCATTTTACAAAATTTAAAAGTGTTCTACCTACAAGCAGACAGCCTAGTGTAGTCAGTGATAAACTCCCAAGGAGGAAACGACAGACTTCAAGCACAATAAAGTAGGTAAACTTAAGTCAAAATTAGTCTAAAGTACAGCGAAGTATAGTCGGTCCAAAAGAAGAATGACCATGGGTATTTTTGGAATCACTTAAGAAGAAAAGAGCCAGAGAGCTGCCATTTTCATCATTACGTAAGTGAATGAGTACTCTATTCATTCACTAGAATAGCATGAAAATCCTTGCAAAGTCCGAGTTCCGTTCTCATCAATCTTTCAAAGAGTTCATTGCAGTTTTTTTAAGTCTAATAGGAACCTAAATATCTGAACTATATAGAAGATAGCCGAGAAGCTCCTCTACAAAATGATGCAGGACACAGGATGTGGGATTCTGTTGCTTTTACACGCATTCACCTTCACACCCACACCCGCACCATTCACAACGATTATAGTGATTGTATAAAGCGATGTACTGATTGACTGTGGTATCATTAAAGGATGATTCCTATATTGCTCAATAAGCCAGGTAATACTCATGCAACATTTCGCAAAAAATGGAAACTGAATCGATATATTATACAACGACTAAATGCTTATCTTTCTCAATAACTGATGTTTTCTCATACACCAGTAATGAAGTTACACTTTTTATGATTTTTTATGTTTTCACAGCTCAATGAAATAGGTGGAATTCATGCTCTTTTTACGTAGTCTAATTTTTTATTTTCAACTAAGAAAGTTGTTCACGATCTCGAAGAATCATTCTCACAAAGAAAACTAAAATAAGAAATATACTTTGTTATACATATTCATAAATTATTCTATTGAAAAAAAAAGGATGAGCATAGGCCTCAGGAAAATGCGTGTCATTTGAGAACTTCAAAAACTAGAGAGCTGTGTCCTACGTCATTTTTGTAGAAAAGCTTCTTGGCTATCTTCTATATAGTTCAGATATATAGATTCCTGTGAGACTTAAAAAAACCGCAATGAACTCTTTGAAAGATAGATAAGGACGAAATCCGGAATGTGCAAGGATTTTCATGTTGTTCTAGTGAATATATAGGGTAACAATTTACTTAAGTAATGATGTAAATGGCAGCTCTCTGGCATTTTCTGTTCTTGAGTTATTCCAAAAATATCCACGGTCATTCTTTTTTTGAACAGACAGTAGTTCGAAGTGCTCTGAAGGAGCTGAAACTAACTTCAAATACAAAGTATGCCATTTTCCCCTTTTAAACTCTACTTTTCAACCGGAATATCATTAAATAATTCTTTTAGGATGGCTTAGCACTAGTGTCATGAATACTGCAAGATATTATCATACAGCATCCGTATTAAACAATGGTAAAGTGTTGGTCACTGGTGGATTGAGTACTCCTGGTGTTGTTTATCGAAATGATGCCGAATTGTATGATCCATCGACAGAAACATGGGCAGCGACCGCTAGTATGAATAATGCACGATATCTACATACATCATCCGTTTTAACAAATGGGAAGGTGTTAGTTACTGGTGGATCGAATGGTTCTTATCTAAATAGCTCTGAGTTGTATGATCCATCAACGGGGACTTGGTCAACAACAGGTAGTATGAATGATGCACGATTTGGACACACATCATCCGTCTTTACAAATGGGAAAGTGTTAGTTACTGGTGGATCGAACGGTCTTT